GGGCCTGGCCTGCGTGCGCGGATGGGAGCGCGCGGGCGCCTTCCTGGCGGCCGCGGCGCGCAAGCTGCTGTGGCTCCCGGCGTTGCGCTACGTTGACGACTTCTTCTCGGTTGAGAGGAAGGGCCTCGCGGAGCACGCCGACAAGTGCTTTGCGAGGCTGGTGCGCGCTCTCCTCGGGCCCAGCGCCATGCAGGACCGAAAAATGGCGTGGGGCCCGTCGATCGTGATCCTGGGGCTGCGCGTCCGGTCGTCGGCATCGGGCTTCCACGTCAAGCCCGACGACGATAAAGTAAAGCAGTGGATTGCCATCATCGACGGCGCCTTGAGGTCAGGCGCGCTCACGGCCGGCGAGGCGTCGAAGATGGCGGGTCGCCTGTCGTGGGCATGCTGCCACGTGTTCGAGCGCGCCGGGCGCTCGATGGTGCGACCGCTCTTCGACCAGGCATACGGTTCCCTGCCCCGCCTCGCGGGGCACGCGAGCGACGCGCTGCGCTGGTGGCGAGACGCACTGGCACGGGACATCGCCCGCGCGCGTCCCTGGCGATGCCGCGACGCGCGCCCGCCGGTGCTCGTGCTGGCGGACGCCCGCGGCAGCCCGGCGCGACTCGCCGCAATTTTACTCACAGAAGACACGTTCGAGTCGGCCGACATGGCCCCGCCAGAAGAATTTCTCAGGTCTCAGCGCGACGGTCCGCGGCGCGCGCGCGCGTCGGGCGTTGCGCGATTGGCGCAGCGGATTACGCGCCCGCAATGATCAGCAGATCGCGGCGCTCGAGATGCAGGCGCAGTGCGTGGCTCTGTCCACGTGGGCGCGCGCGCTCGCCGGCCGCCGCGTGGTCTTCTTCTCAGACAACAGCGTCGCTGAGTGCACTTTCAGGAAGGGCGCCGCAAAGTCACGCGACCACAATTTTCTCGTGCACCAATTCTGGTCGGCGATAGTGGCGCTCCAGGCAGCGCGGCAACCGCGCGCCGCCAGACGCGCGCGCGCGGCCGCGCCACCGCGGCAGGTCCACGCGTGGATAGAGCGCGTGGAGTCGGCAAGGAACGTGCCTGGCCGACCTTCCCAGCCGCAAGGAGCGGGATTTGCTCTCGCGTCTGGGGGGAAAGAGGGTCCGTGCACAACTCGCGGAGGCCTTCCGCTGTGGGCCACCGCCCGCGAGTGCTGCATGTTAGTAAGACTGCCCCGCGTGCGCGCACCGCGGGGCGCGCGCGCGCAAGCGGAACCGGCTGCCGCGCTAGCCGGCATTGCGCAAGATGGAGCTCGCCCGCGACTTTCGCCGTAGCTTCCCAGGGCGTTTCAGCGATGCGGCGGCGGCCGAGGCCGCGGCTCTATGCGTTCGGCATGGCTGCTGTTCTCTCATGCAGCTGCAGGGGCGCGGCGGCGAAACCGCCGGCTGGTGCGATCGGGCTGGCACGAGCGAAGAGCGCCGTCGACTCGTGCGGGTGGCCGCGCTGGCCCGACCGCCCCCGGGGCCGCCCCCTGGGCGCGACGCGGTGACCGGCATATCAAGAGGCGTGAAGCGTTTTCTAGGCGAGCGGCGCGCGCGGGCGCGGGTCGGCGTCTTCGCCGCGCAGGCAGTGTCGCATCGGTTCGCCTCGCCCGCGATTTACGCCAGTGCGGAATGAAAGGTTGGTCGGCTGGCGCGCCCGCGGCGTGCGCGCGCGCGCGCCCGCCGGCGCGCAGGGGGTGCCTCCGATGTCGCGCGTGCGGCCAGCGTACTGGCGGAGCAAGGGTTCGAGACCCACCAGGATCTCGTCGGGGCGCAGCTGAGGTGCATCGCGGACCTGCATGTCCTGCCGGCACCCCTCCTGTCGGAGCTCGATCGCCCGCGCACCGCGGGACCCTCTTCCGCGCGTAGCGGGGATGCGCGGAGCCGTTCTCCAGAGCGCCTGACAGCGATAGCGCCTGCATTCGAAAGGGCGATGGCGCGGCCAGGACCGCCCTCGCCACCCGTGCCAGGGGGGCCGCGTCGCAACGCGCAGTGGCTTGCGTGTTCCATGCCCTCGCAGGGGGAGCGGCGCGAATGGGCGGAACGGGCCCGATTGGAGGTTCTGGTCAGCACTATACCATCCACCCGCCAATCTTTGAAGAGCGGTGTGCGGTGCTGGCTCAATTTCGCGATAGACGTACTCGGACGTGACCGGCATCTCGCGCTGCCGCCCAGCGAGGCGCGACCAATCCGCGCAACCCCTCCTGCGCGGCCCGCAGACTCCTATAATGTGCGGCGTGCGCCCAGGACGATATGTTGTGCTGGTCGGGCACTTTCTCTTGCGCGGGCACGTTCCGGAATTATTGCGGGCACGTGCAGACAGCGTGCGAAGTGCTACGCCTGGGCGCGAGCGCCTTCGGCAACAGACGGTTGCTCCGGTGTCGGCCCCCCGCGCCGCCGCGCGCGCGAGGCCGCGCGTCGCGCGCCCAGGAAGGCCAAGGCAGCCATTGTGCGGCGCGGCGGACACACGCCACGCGAACCGCGCTTCGTTCGTGACGCTATGATTGCGCAATTACGTGGCCTACATGGTCGCAGCGAAGAAGAAAAAGGCGGGGCCGCCGCGCGGCATTCGCCAGTCAACCCAGCGGTCGCGCAGGTGGCATCCACCATGTTTCTAATTACGTACATATTCCTGCTTCGCCTACCATCCGAGTGTTTACCCATCCGGTGGTGCGGCAACACTCTGTCGCGCGGCCGCACGGCGGGCCGCGCCGTCTGGAAGCGCGCGCGCTGGGGCGCCCGCGCACGCGCCGAACGCGCTAGGCGGAGTTGGCCATATCGGCAGACGAGGCACTCCTCTGGTTGCCAAGGCGGAAGAACAAGCCGTGCGCGTCGATGCTCCGCCGGAGGTGTTGGTGCCGCGCGCACGCCGCGACGTGCGCCGTGCACGCGCTGCCTCCGTTGCTGCGCGGCACAGCAGTAGGCACTCAGCCGTTCGCGCAGGTCTCAGGGTCGGATGCCCGGCGTATCCTCCGGTCCCTATTGTCCAGGATAGGCGTGGACAGTGCCAACCTATTCGGCACCCACGACATACGAAGGTCGCGACCCGCGACCGCCCGCGCGGCTCGGCGCGCACATCCCTCCGCCCCTCTCGCGCGCACAAGGGGGCACGCCGATGACATCGATCGCGCGGGTGCACCGACCGCAGTAACGAAGGAACGTGGAGGCTGGGCGTCGAACGCCTACCTGGCTTACATCGACCGCGTCCGGGTCGAAAGTGAGAGGGTAGCGGCCGCGCGCAACGCCGCGTCCGACTGCTCGGACAGCTCTGACAGCAGCTCAGACACCTAGTGTGGCTGCGACATCCCGGCGCGCGCCCGAGCGCCGCGCTCCGCGTGCGCAACGGGTGAGCGGCGCACGGCGCTGGTCGCATCGTTGCATTGGGTCGTGCTGCGACCAGCACCGAGGCCTCGTGGCGCCCGCGCCCTCTCGGCGCGGCGCAGGCTTCGGCGCGGACCCAACGCTGTGGTTGCAGACGCAACCCAGCTACGGGTGAGCGGGGTGCTCAGCGAATTTGTGTGTATGGAACGAGTTCGGCCCCTGGTTCCATCGCGCGCATTCGCTGGCCCCAGGCGCACGCGGCGGACGCAGGCGCGAGCAGTCGCCGCGCCGCCGCTTGGCTCGCGCGCGCCGCGGCGCGCCGCAGGCGATGTGGGCGGGCCCGCGCGCCCCCGCGCGCGGCCGCTGCCCGCCGCGGCCGCGCGCAGGTACCACAGGTTTGTGTGTGTGCCTGGGGCGCGCGCCCCGCGCTCGGGATTTGACCCGCCCGTGCCCGCCCCGTTTCTCGCCCGTTGCTGGGTCGTGCTGCTACCAGCGCCGAGGCCTCGTGGTGCCCGCGCCCTCTCGGCGCGGCGCAGGCTTCGGCGCGCGCCCAACGCTGTGGTTGCAGACGCAACCCGGCTACGGGTGAGCGGGGTGCTCAGCGAACTTGTGCTCCTTTGGACTTCTTCTGGGCTTCCTCGGTTGCCTAAGTGAATCAGTGGATTACTCAAGAGGATTACGCAAATCCTGCCTGGTCCACCAACGGCTGCCCATAACCATCATTTTTTATTAGTCTAGACGCTTCGCGTAACCCCGCCAGCCCGCCCAGAAAAGGGCGCCCGAACGAGTTGTCTTGATCCGGGATGTGGAGGAGCATGCACTGGAATAATGGGCTAGGTAAGACGTCATACACCGAGAGGGGGTGGGGATTGAGGAGGAATTGGAGAAGGAGGAGGAGAAGGAGGAGGAGGAAGACGATTTGGAGGAGGAGGAGGATAACTAATCATACTAATAATGATCCCAGAGGAAACCCCCTATCATAATCTTTTTAGGCCTATGGCGCTATGGGGCTACAGGGCAATAGGGCTGTAGGGCTACTCGGGCTATAGGTTATAGGGCTATATGGCTATAGGGTTATAGGGCTATGGGGCTATAGGTTTATAGGGCTATAAGGCTATCAGGCTATAGGGCTATCGGGCTATAGGGCGATTGGGCTATGGGGTTAAAAGGGTAATTAGGGCTGGAGGGCTATAGGGTTATTAGGGCTTTCGGGCTATAGGACTGCCCCTGGCCCGGGGAGGCCCGCTACGCGGGGCCCGACGGGGGGGGGGGGCCGGCCTGGGCGCCGAAGCCCGCGCGGTAGCACGCAGCCGGCGAAGTGCGAGAACAGCCCGCACTCGGCTTCCGTGCATTCCTCTTTTCACTCCGCCTCCACCTCCGGCTCAAGCGCTTCTGGCTTGCAAGGCTAGCGGGATCGTCCGCCTCAAGTCCCCAGGGCCACCACGCCGCGTGCGCCCGCGGTGATCGCGCCCATGTCGAACCTGGCTCAGTGGCTCACCGAGATCCCTAAGCAGGTGAAAACACCTCGCTGCTGTCGGCCTCACCACCGCCGAATTCGTCGCGGCTTCTGTGGGCCCCGATGTCATCAAGGGCTCGGACGGCAGCGTCACGATCAAGGCCGTGGACACGGTGTTCATCGAAACCGTCGCGAAAGCCTGCGACGAGGTGAAGCAAGTGACGGCCGCATAGGCACAGGTGCGCAAGTTCTACGCGCGCTGCCACGCGGAGACGGTGGCCGCGGCCACCGCTGCGGCGGCGCACCCTGGAGTCCAGGAAATCACTGCCACAGATCCGGCAGCGGAGGAATACTGCAACCTGGCGCCCCCATACCGGAAGAAACGGCTGGAGGGTTTGACAGCCGCACGCAGGTGCGAGGTCGACGACAGCAGGCTGCCGTCAGACCGGCTGTGGGGCCGTTACGAGAGGCCCAGGCGCGTCAGCAAGGAATTTGCGACGCTCCCGCCGACGAAGATCCAGTCGGAGCTCGCGGCGTCGCGCAAGCCCGGCCACGCCCAGCTCCAGCCCGGGGCGGGGGGCGTCCTCGCGTGGAGGATGCCGGCGATAGAGGACCCCGCAGCCAATTCCTTGGTGGCGTTCGAGGAGGTGATGTTCATCGTGGAGAACCTCCTCTACTTGACCGGCTGGGTGTCCCAGCTCCAGCCGCTGGAGACGTTCCAAGCCAGGTTCTGGGCGCGGGCACGCAAGAGCTGGACGCCTGCGCCAGGGTGCCGGCCCCTGAGCCTCAGCGAGCTCCAGCACGCCTTCGAGCTGTTCCAGCGGCAGTGGGCGCGTGCCAGCCGAGCGAAGGAGGCCGGCCATATCGACGACGCCGTGACCGCCAGCCTCCCAGCAGACACAGACGAGCTGGACAGGTGCCTGGCGCTGGCGCCGAGGCTCCAGACGGCTCAGCAGGACCTCGCGACCGAACCGCGCGGGTACTGGGGCAACGGGGGCGGAAACCGCCAGCCCCAGGACGTGCGGGCGGAGCAGCCGAAAGGCGAAAGCAAGGGCAAGGCGGACCGCGGCACCAAGAGGAAGGCGCCGGCCGCGGGTGCACCGGCCAACAAGGCCCCGAAGCGCGACCAGCCGTGCAAGTTCATGGCGACGACGGGCACCTGCCGCTTCGGGGACCGGTGCTGGTATGCACATTGACAAGGCGCCGCGGGCGAGGGCGGCGAGCTGGCCCCCGCCGGCCCTCGTGGGCCGCAGGACCTGGGTGCCGAGATTCAGGCGGCCGCGCCCACGTGGCGGCGCGTGGACAGCGACGGCAGCAGCGGGCATGCAGGGGCAAGCCCGTCCGACGGCGCGCCTCGCGGCGAGCCGGCGCCGCCGCCCGACAGTGCGCGGCGCGGTGGGCCGGCGCCGCCGCCCGCTCCGGGCCCAGTGCCGGCCAGCGTCCCGCGGCCTGACATTCGGCCGGCATCGGCCAGGTAGAGTGCGCCGCGTCCTTGCTGGATCTAGATGCGAACGAGCGCGCTAACGCGCTCGCCCTGGAAGAGGAACAGGCATGCCAGCTTAGCGACCACCGTTATTGGGATTTAGCGGCCGGCGCACTTGTGCATGCGCATCACGCGCCGCAGCGGCCGCCATTGCCCGCCGGCGTCACCAGTGCGCTGAAGTGGCAGCGCGCGTGCCCAGACTTTGAGCATTGGGTCGTCTGCCAAGTCGAGACATGGCGCCGCGTCGCCGCCCAATTGCAACCGGCCCGGCAGCGCTGGCGCAGGTAGCTCAATCCAGAAGTTGACGCGGTGCTTCCACCCGCCTTCCGCGGCCCGCTGCACGAACAGATGCTACAAGTGGCGGGCTACGACGACATGGGCGTCATCCGCGACGTTGCCCAGGCCTCCTCGTCACAGGGCTACTGCCGGACACGCTGCAGTTCGCCGCCGCGCCGCAAGCCGCGAAGCCGTCCCCCGCGGCGCTAGATAGAGCCTTACGGCGCGCAGTCGAGAGGCGCGCGGACACGCTGCAGGAGACGCTGCAACGTCCGCGCCGGGAGCCTGGCACGGACGAGGTGCTGCGACAGACAATGGCAGACGTGAGTGCTGGGAAGATGCGTGGCCCGTGGCGTGTGTGCATAGACGATGGCGGCAGTCTCCGCTCGGAGGTGCCGTTCGCAGAGTGGCTGCCAACCGCCCGCTTCCCGCGTATGCAGAAGAAGACGGCGACGAGCTTCGCGTGACGTCCCATCGACGACTGCGCGGGGTCGGGCTGAAACCCCGGCGCGTTGTCAGTAGAAATGATGCGCGTGGAAGGCTTGCTGGTGGCCCTGGCCGCGGCGGAGCACGTCGCCAAGGAATTCGCGCACTGGGGCGAGGGCGGATCCCCGCGCATTTGCAAGGCCGACCACAAGCAAGCGTGCAGGCAGTGTGCGGTCAGGCCCGACCAGCAGCAAGTCGTCGTCTGCCTGATCTGGTGCGAAGACGTCGGGTTTCACGGAGGGTATCTCGCGTTCGCGCACCGAGCGCTCTGCTTCGGCGCCACGGGGGCCGTGTGCGGCTACGGCAGGGTCGCCAGCGGCATAGTGCACATCCTGCGGTGCATTTTTAGCTTAGGCCAGTTGGCCTTCGTAGATGATTTAAGTAGAATGGATCCACAGCGACATGCGGCACTGCTCAAGTGGGTTTTCGAGCAAGTGCACGGTCTCCTCGGTGTTCCTCTCAAGCACGAGAAGGGCGAAGGCCCGGCAAGCAAATTGCCTATGCTTGGCATGCGCGTAGCCGTCGCCAGCCAGTGGCGCGGCTTGCAGCTAGCGACCTCCCGGAGGAAAGACCTCCAGAGCGCTGTGGAGCAGGCGCTGAGGACGCGAGCGCTCGCAGCCAAAGAAGCGGTCCGCCTCGGGGGCCAACTGAGCTGCGCGCGCGCAGACTTATTCGGCAGAGTCGGGCGCGCCTACGGCCCCGCCATCTCCAGCCACTCGGGAGGGTGGAGCCAGGAGCAAGGAACCGCGCTGCGCTGGTGGGATGCCCATGTAACCATCCCCCTGCACCATTATGTACATGCCGGCCGGACCCGGCCGACTGCCGTGGCCTGGGTCGACGGCTCCCGGGACATGGCAACCAAGACCGGCGCGCTTCGAACCTTGCTGCTCACGCGAGAATCTGGCAGGTGGAGCCTGTCGGCCGCGATCCCTCGCCAGATCTGCGCCGAGCTCACGCAGTGCCCCAAAACGCAGCGCAACGCGCAATCAGAGCTGCTGGCCATTTCAATGCTACTGCTCTCGCTGCCCCAAGCTCTGCGCGGAGCGCACCTCGTCATTTTCGAGGACAACGCTGCGGCCCTAGCGAACGTCCGCGCTGGGGCCGCGGCCGACGAACACAGCCGAGCACTCGTAGGTGCCGTCTGGCTGGTCGCGGCGGCCCTGAACATAACGCTGTGGCTTGAATATGTCCCTTCGGAATCCAACCGAGCGGATTGCTTCTCAAGGTCGGATGAGGCCGAGAAGCATCGCGAAGCCGCCAGCCTCACCGCGCAATTCGACCTCACGCTCGCGCAGCCTAGGCTACCCGCATCCGTGAGCATGGGCCCTTCGCAGTGGGCGCGAGCGCTACAGGCGGCCGTTCACGCGCCGCCAGCGAGCCGGGCTGACCAGGCCAGGCTCGCGGCAGAGCTAGGGTCAGGCGCCACGGACGCGAGCACCCTCTGGGCAATGCTCAAGCGGGTCCAATTCACTGCCGCGTCAGGCGAGATCACGCTAGGCTGGCTGCAATTGCGCCGTAAAAGCATCATCGGCGCGGCCACCGGCGCCCATGGCGACCTCACGAGGGTCATGTGCGCTGCCTTTAAGCAACAGTCGCCGCACAGCCGTTGCACGACCATCGTGATTGCGCCCGGCAGGCCGCCGAAATGGCCACCGGGGGCCGCGATCATGCCAGCTCTGTTGCGCGTCACGGCGGCGCCCCTCGCGTGGGGCAAGGGCGAAGCGCCCCCCGCGCCCACAGATGCCGAAAGCATCTGGCTCGGGTCTTACCATTTCGACATCGCGGGAATTCGTGGCAATCGAGCAGCCGCGCCATTGCTGGGATACGGCTTTCCCTTGTAGGAGAAAAAAGAGCGTGCCATCGTCGTCGCCGCCCTGTCGCGGCCAAGCAGCCTCGCCGTCTAACATGGCTGAGCCGAGCGACATCGGCGGGGGGGGGCGGCCTCGCGCGTGTCCGCGCGAATGCTCGCCGCGTCTCCCCGCGCAAGCCACCGCTTTCTGATCTCGGCTGGTCCCGGGGTCGCTCGCGCCGCTGGGGGGTGGCCGCCGCCCCCGCCCCCCCCCCCCCCCCTCGGCCAGGGCAGATAACCGCGCGCCCTAAAGGGACGGAGGGTCTGCGCCTGCTTGCGGGGCGCAAGCTCGTGGGGGGGCACCGGCCGACGCGGCCCTGTGGCGGCGGGCCAGTGGCCCCAATGGGGGGCAGTGTTCCTAGGCTCGATGCGGCACCTCCCCCCGTTTTTTTGCCGCGGGCCTTCTTTGGGCCCCCTTTCCCTCCTCTTGCCCTAAAGAAGGGGCGCTCTCCCAAGAGCGGCTCGCTGCGGGGGGTCCCCTGCCCCATCCTCGTCGGTCTAGCCTGCCCAGGCCTTGGGCGGGGCGGGGCTGGGCATGCTGGGCTGACGGGGCGGAGGAGGGGGGGCCGTGCGCGTGCTCGCAGCGCTGCAGGGCAGCGCGGAGAGGGGGCGCGCTCGGCGGCCGCCGCCTGCCGCGCGGGCGCGGCCGCCCCGCAGCGATGGCGCCTGCGTTCTCTTTGATTTTCCCGCCCGCCCACGCCGGCGGCGGGCGTCGCAGCAGTCATGATTAACACAAACGGCTACAGCTGTTTGCTGGCGCCCGCGAGAAGCCGAAACGGCCCCGGGCAAAATGCCAGCAGATCATTTATTTCACGCGCCCGGCCGTGCCCGCGAGAAAATCAATGCCCCGGGCGCTGGCGGTCAAAACCGCGCGTGCGCCAACGAGAAGCCCAAAGAGCCCGTGGCCAACGCCTGGGGGGAATCTCCCCCCGCTGCAAAAACGCCGGCGCTTGCGAGAAGTCGTCGAGGCCCCGAGCCAAAGCCAACTGAGGCGGTGTTTTTGTTTAACTCGCCAGGTCGAGCCCGTGAGGAGCTCAAAAGCCCCGGGCGCAGACCGGCACGGCGCGCGCGTGCGCCCGCGAGAAGCCCAATGGGCCCAGGGCTAGCGCCAGGGGAGAACCTCCCCGACCGCAAATACGCTGGCGCTTGCGAGAAGTCGCCAAGGCCCGAAGCCGAAGCCACCTGGCGCGGTCGCCCGCCGACCTGGCGCCATCGAGAAGCCCGCGGGGCCCGTGGCAAAGCCAGGCGCAGGTGCATTTTAGCCGATCCGGCGCCTGCGAGAAGTCGATTAGGCCCCAGGCGGAAATCGGCGGCAAAGCATACAAATGCGGGCCCGCAAAGCGGGCTCCGCAAATCCGAGCCACCGCCCCCCCCCCCCCCCGAAAACACGGCGGGGGCCGGTGGCGTGTGAACCAAAACGAATTCTCGAGGGGAGATCGGGGGGAGCCCTAGGCCCGCCCCGGGCCGGTGGCCCCTCTTTTCCTAGGCTCGGTGCGGCGCCCCCCCCCCGTTTTGACCGCGAGCCTTCTTTGGCCTCCCTCTCCCTCCTCTGGCCCTAAAGAAGGGGCGCCCTCCCAAGAGCGGCTCGCTGCGGGGGGCCCCCTGCCCCGCCCTCGTCGGATGCCGTCGTGGAACGACTGAATGTCAATGGGCCCGTGCCCGCAAGAAACTCCCATGGCTGAGTGGGCGCCCTCGCCTAAGATGCGCGAGTGCGGCCGGGGATCCGCCGTCCACTCCTTGGCCCGAGGCCCCCTCGCAGGGGGCCGCGCCCTCGGCGCCGCGGCGATCGTGCCGATGGACCGATCTCCTCCGGCCTTCTTCGCGAGAAGGCGCCCGATGACGAGTGTAAGTTGCTGCGGCCATGTCAGGCATGACTCGACCGCGTTCAGAATGCCTGCTAGCTCGTCGAACCCTTTTGGGGTAACTGTTCAGCGTCAAGAGGAGGCAATCGATCTGCGCCCTGGCTTGCGCGGGGGCGCATCTGGTGGGCCGCTGCTTGGATCTCAAGTCCCGCAAGCGGGGGGGGGGGGCCTCCACTTCGGCTGCATCGCGGATGCTGTCGAACGTGCGATGCATCTTGTCGCGGTCCAGCGGTTTGCTGCGCCGCAGGCGATGAAAATTGCCAACCTTGTGATCAATGATATCTTTCTGATAAAATGGCTTGAAACGGCCAGCTCTTCGGCTGGCTGCGGGGATCCCTTGATGGACCTATGAAGGACAGGAAGAGCAGTCTCCGATACCACCCCGGACCTGAACTCGTCGAGGGAACGATGGAGCGCACGGCCGCGAGCTTGACGACGCGCTCGCTCTGCCGCTGAGACCATTCCAGTCAGAGTATCCGTGGCGGCCTGGAGCGGATCCGACATTGCGCTGGTCCACGCCTGCCAGTCCCACTTGTCGCTGGCCAGCGTGTGGGCCTCGGTCGGGTAATCGCCAATCAGCCTTAGGGGCGCCTCAGCCAAGGCGACGCATTGCCGACGGCCGTCGCCCCTCTCACGGTGCTTCAGGGTGCGGCTCAAGACTGCGTGGGCGTTCTCCCGCCAAGAGCTCACCTGATCGTGCAGGGGTTGAGTCCGAGCCTTCTCTGCCATGCGAATTTGTGGTCTGGGAGCTCGGACACTCGGCGCGACGTCGTGAGGCCGCCGGTGGGTTCTGACCGTGGTGGTCGTAGATCGTGGCTTCCACCGTCTTAATCCATGCCGCAAGCGTGCCGCTGACTGCAGTGATGTGGCGCGCTCCCGTGTGGTGGGCGATGGGGGTCTCTGGCTGCGCGCCAGCTGCAATCGGAAGAAACAAAGCCAGCCTGGGCGCGATGCTCGATCCGAGACATTGACGGAATATAGAACAAGGGGGCAGCAGCGGCGGCAGCAGGGAGGCTCCGAGGGGTCGTGAAACCCACCGGAAGTATCGCCCTGCCCATTACTAGGCCTCTCCAAGGGTGCTGCTGGGGGCTGGGGGGGGCGGGGGGCGCTGAGCTAGCACCGTCAAAAATATCGGGCTGTCTTCCAGAATGCTGGGTCGTAGAGAAGCCATCCAAGGTGCCCTGCGCACCGTCGCGAGCCTCGAAATTGCCCTCGCTAGACTGGGGGTCCTCCTCCTCTTCAGGCCATCACAGAGCATCTTCTACATCGGGATACTGTTCGAGGTGAGGCGGGGACACGGCGTCTTTACCGGGCGAGCCCGTCCCGCCAGGCGACGAGGGCACCGCGCCCCCAAACAGTGCTGCGCAAGTGGGGCGCATCCATCACGAGAAAGTGCGGTCCGCCGAGCTCTCTCTTCCTTCGCAGTCGCCGACTTGGAGCCAGGGGGGGTGGGGGTGGGGGGCTGGCGGGGGAGCTGCGGCAGCTTGGGCGGCAAAGAAAGAGAGCGTGTCAAGAGCTGGGCCCCTGAACCTCGGAAGTACGTTAACCGACCGCAGCGCGTCTTCCATGGCGCGTCGACCGCAGCGCGAACATGAAGAGTGCGCGGACAGAAACTGCTGGATTCTAAAGCGTAATCCCGCTTAGTGCCCTCAGACTTTGAGCTGGAGGTGCACGTGATGGGCGTGTTTTTCAGCGCGGACAATGCGGCCTCGAACTCTGCGCACGAAACCGTGATGTATGAGGGGCTCCGAGGACATGTCCCAACCGGCGAAACCGATCCACGGGGGCGAGAGCGAAGTGAGGAGAGTTACCAGTCGGGAGTAACGTTGAAGATTGCGACCATGCAAGCCTTCTCCCGAGTACCCACAGAAGAAGATGGCGACGAACGAGTCGGCTGGCATCTCGATGATGGGGGCGCGGAAGCCGTCGAGCGCCTGGCGTCCGTCAGCACGCGGGGCGCTCCGCGAATCTGTAGCTAGAGCGTGGGCAGCTCGATGGCCTTCTGCCAAAAGCCATTCGCCACCCTCATCCGCTCGATGTTCGTTGTCCCCAATGGTTGCGCTCCCCGTGGGCCTCGCTGTGTCGGCTGTGAGTCGGGCCCCCGCTTTGCGAGCTTCCTTGCGCCGACGATATAAGCCTTTAGCATCCAAATGAGACTCCACGATACCCGTGAAATTAAAACGCACATTTTGATATTGAGAGATACTGTAGTCCCACATCTTGGGGCCCGCGCGCGTAGCGTTGGCGAAGCGCAGAGTGGAAGAGTCACTATCCGAAGTAGATTGCCCCTGTGGATTGCCTGGCAACCGATGCCGATGAGGGGCCCTGCGGACTGGCAACCGTCAAACTTCTCGGACTAGCTGTTGCCGCTGGGGCCGCCCTCTGCGTTGCTGCTCATGAGCTCGCCACAGGCGTCAACGACGCCTCGTCCAAGGCCGCCGCCTCCTTGGCCGCCCTCGCCACCGCTATCTTCAAGGTGAACAGCTCCTCAGGCGCCTCCTTGGCTTCGGCCGTGCGAACCTCGGCCTTGACCTCGTCGAAGACTCCCATCTGGAGGCGAGGGTACGCGCTGCCTTGCTCCTCGCCTCGTCAGCCTTGGCGGGGCCGATCGCGGCAACGCGTTCCCTGGCCTCAGCTTGCTCTAGGTTGTCACGCGCCTTGAGCGCCGCCGAGACCGCCGGATCGTGGCGCAATGACGCTGCGCGCCAAGCTCCCGACGTGTGGCGGACCGCCTCGTTTGGGTTGTGGGAAGGCTCTCAGTTACCCTTCTTCTTCTTCTTTTTCGGAATTTCAGCCTCGAGTAACTTTTTCAAAAAAGGGTCCGTCGTCGAGTTGAGGGTCAGGGTCATGAGCTCGATGTCGGTGGAATCTTTCGTAGTCGAAGCACTTCCCGACCCTGGCTTCTGTCCCTGGTTTCTCCATGGTGTGTCGAGGATCTGCAGCTGGTTCTCGTCATTCTTGGACTTGCGCTTGAACATCTTGACCTGGCTCCCGCAGCCGTAGTATTTCTTGCCACGGGACTCCAAGGTAGTGTTTTACTCGCACGTGCCGCAAACCGCACACTTCGACCACGCCCAAGTGTCAGTTTTGCCCGTATCCTTCGTCATCCCACCTTTCGCCAATCAGAGCG